CCGTTTCCGAGCGTGGTGCACTGGAGAGCGTTTTCCCTCCCTCGGGGATGCTGGTGTGGACAGCTCGCTGCCACTTGCAGACAAAACCCAGTTTGCTTCTGCAGCAGCGCTGGGGAAGAGGCTTCCATCAGCTTCCCCCAGCATGTCTTGTCACCCCTCTAAAGGGATCTAGAGTTCTGTTGGCTGATGAGAAACTCTTAAAGCTCTGCTGGTTTTCCTTGGTTAAAAAAACATCCCCAGCTTCTTGCAGTCGCTCCCTTGCTTTCAAAAGCACCTTGACTCCCGCACAGGTTGGCTGAGATGACGGGGCGCCCCATGAGAGTCGTGGGCTGGTATCACTCTCACCCTCACATCACCGTCTGGCCCTCGCACGTCGGTAAGAGCAGTCTTGGCAGCGTGAATGCAAAAATGGAAACTTTTCGGAAAGGAGCGCTTGAGTGTCTTATACGTGTTGGACGTAAGACCTGTGTAGTGATCTGTCACACCAATAATTTCTTGTTTTGTCAACCAAGCTTGTATTTTTAAGATTTGCTATTTAATTCTGTTCTAAATCGGATCAATTTAAATTTTTTTTTTAACTTAAGTCACCTGGAATAAGCACTTTTAAAATAAAGCTCGTGACATTCGTTACCATGTTTCAGGTCACCCTTCAAAACGGGACAACTGTTCTGCTCCTTCAGGTGACTGGGGCAGCTCTCACTTTTTTATTTCTATTATTTTCTTTCCTTCTCTTCAGATGTCCGCACACAAGCTATGTATCAGATGATGGACCAAGGTTTCGTAGGGCTTATCTTTTCCTGCTTCATCGAGGACAAAAACACAAAGGTAGGCAGCTTAAAAGGGACAATAAACCCTCCAAGTACTCGAGAAACAACAGCCCCAGGGCAGATCCTTGGAAGCAGCCCAGTCAAAGTGCTGTTTGGATCATAATCCCAATGACAAAAGAAGGAGGTATTAACCACTCTGTGCTGATCCTGGTTCTCCAGTCAGCAGAGCTGATTTTTATGTTTTTTTACCCAAAGTCGATGTGTCTGTCAGTATCTAATTGTAAACAGTTCCAGCAAATTAATCAAAGCGAAACGTGTGTACCTTTGCGACGTGTTAAAATGTTATTTGAAAGCTTGTTCTGCTTCCTAAAGGAACGTGTGGTTTTAAATGACGTTTTGCTCTTGGAATCTGGCTTTCTGCTGTTTCTCTTAGACAGGCAGGATTCTCTACACCTGTTTCCAGTCCATCCAGGCCCAGAAGAGCTCAGAGTGAGTACAGCAGAAGAATATTAAGTCTGGTGTCAGGTTGTATTTCGTCTTGTCTCTCCATCCTGGGTTGTCTCAAATAAGTGGCTTCGATGCTTATTGTGAAGAGGAATATATAGAGGCACCTCATGCTTCTGCTCATGTAGGCTGCTTGAAGATTAGGATTAATTAATTTAGCCTAGATAATTTAGTAGTTTAATTTTGATGTGGGACGCTATGATGTGGGTATGAATTTGTGCTGTTAGGGAGAAGGCCCAACCTTTTGCTTTCACCTCTGGCGGTTGAGGCTTCAAGCCTGTGTAGTGTGGAGTCCCCACGTACCGTGCGCTGTGCTGTCAGTACCGGCCATCTAGTTGCCAGCATTTATGATGAAAATTTAAGACAAGTGTGTCCCTATAAATGGTTTCCGTTTGCCTGTCCGCTCAGCCACGTGTTCCCAGGAGCAGGTTCTGCAACAAGTGCCCCGCGTCAGACGGGTTGGTCACGGGTTTGTAGGCGTCCTTTTTTTTTTAGTTCACAGAATCACAGAATATTCGGGGTTGGAAGGGACCTCTGAAGATCATCTAGTCCAACCTTCATCCCAGCACACCTAACCACTACACCACAGCCCCAAGTGCTAGATCTACTTTTTCTTTAAACACCTCCAGGGTTGGTGACTCAACCACCTCCCTGGGCAGCCTGTTCCAGGGCCTCACCACTCGCTCAGTAAAGAACTTCCCCCGAATATCCAATCTAAACTTACCCTGACGCAACTTGAGGCCATTTCCCCTTGTCCTGTCATTAGTAATTAGAGAGAAGAGACCAGCACCAGCCTCACTCCAGCCTCCTTTTAGGTAGTTGTAGAGGGCAATAAGGTCTCCTCTCAGCCTCCTCTTCTCCAGACTAAACAAACCCAGTTCCCTCAGCCGCTCTTCACAGGGCATGTTTTCCAGACCTCTCACAAGCCTTGTTGCCCTTCTCTGCACCCGCTCCAGCACCTCGATGTCCTTCTTGTACTGTGGTGACCAAAACTGGACACAGTACTCGAGTTAATCGTGTCTGTTACGCTTGTAGATATGAAAGGATTGAAATCCCTATTCACGTTGTCCCCCATGAAACCATTGGAAAAGTGTGTCTGGAATCAGCTGTGGAGCTGCCCAAGATCCTTTGCCAAGAAGAGCAAGATGCCTACAGGAGAATTCACAGGTGAGGCCGGTGCTGTACTTAAAGTACCATGACCTTAGCAGGGCTGTCGAAAATAAGTCTTAGCAGCTCCTTTTGTAGGAGAACAGATCAAACACCTTCACGTTAAGAAATTCAAGTTCTTTTAGCCTTGCATGCAAGAGTTGAGTGTCACTGCTCCATCGTTGCAGCAAAATAAGAGTGAGAGTGTGTGTGGGCTAATGGTGGCACCTCAGAGACGAAAAATGAGATTAAATATCAGCTGCTTTTTATTTTTTCCTTCCTCTGTTGCTCAACACATGTTTCTGTGCTGGAAGCTCTTTGTTATCCTTGTGAGTGTACAGGGCTTCGACGGGTGAGGAAGTTTTGCTGTACCTGCGGTGTGGGCAGCCTGGGTTTGCCTGATGAGCAATTCCCTGCTGTCACGTCACTCACCTGTGTTCTGTTCTTTCTTTTAGTCTCACCCATCTAGACTCCGTAACCAAGATTCATAATGGCTCAGGTAAAAATTCCTTTTCTGCACATGCGAATGCAGGATGCCGCTCCGAGTCAAAACCAGTACTCTCAAGCAGGGGTTGGTTTGACTGTGACTTTGGGGGTCAGGAGACCACAGCCGGGCGGCAATCGTCCCTTTGCCGTCAAAGGCACCTGTAAATAACTTTAAAAGCACAAGCTTTCATCTTTTTCTTTGCCGTACAGCTCATTTCCAATCACAAACACTGTGTAACCCAGAGAATTCCCTGAGATTATCTTGTCACATAAAGTAATTACAGTATCTTTGGGGATTTTTCGGGCTGTATTTTGTTTTGCGTTTGTTTTTCTATTAGAACAGCAGGGGGATTTTGGATTTGTTGAGTCTTAAAGTCTGGCTGATGTGTACAGGTGCTTGCATCTCCTGGCACTTCCCGTATGTTACGTGCATCTGACAACTTTGCTTTTGCCAGCGAGATCGGTCGAATCCTAATCCCGCTTCTGTTCCGACATAAATACCACATTCTCCATTCTCACCTGGTCAATAAATGAGGCGGTTTTTTTGCTTCTTGATTTAGAACTTGATTAGCATCTGTGACGACTGACATGCAGATTTTCTGCTGCAGGACTGTCCTCCCTTCCCTGGCTGTCTAAAAGTCAAGTTGAAAGAGCTTGTTTCCCTGTTGGGCAAAGCTCCTGGTTCTGACTTTTTCCTGCCGGGATGTCTGGTTGCCTTGGCTGGGATGTTGGAGGGTTTCCTTGGTTGTCCCCGGCGCTCTTGGCTTCGGGGTTTTTGTAGCACGTGGAGTCTTTTGTGGCGTTTTTGCACTGGCTTGACACGTTTTTCGCTCTTTCCAGTGTTCACAAAGAACCTCTGCAGCCAGATGTCTGCCATCAGCGGGCCGCTCCTTCAGTGGCTGGAGGACAGACTAGAGCAGAACAAACAGCGGGTGCAGGAGCTGCAGCAGGAGAAAGAGCAGCTCCTGGAGGAACTAGCTGCTTTAGAGTGAAGGAGAAAATGTGGACCCTTCAGAAAAAAAAAAAGAGACATGGAAAAAGCTCTCCAAGACCTACTCCTGGCTGAAGGGTGGCCCTGCGTTGCCTTACGGTGAAGATACTAGCCGTGCCTCTTCTCTTGCCCCAAGCAGCAAAGAGCATTCCTACAGGACAAGGGCTTCCTCTGCCCCAGCATGGTGGAAAGCAGCGGTATCTTCCCAGGTGCCGCGTGATGCAGCGCAGTTCCAGCTCAGCGGCGGGGTTGGGCAGCATCTGAGGAGACTTTGGTTCTGGAGGGCAAGCGCGTAGTGAATGTGTTGTTTCTCTCTCCCCTATGTTTGGACAGAAATCTTAGTGCTTTACGTGTATTCCAAGAGCGTAGAACAGGAGGGGGTAGAGGAGGAGGAATGCGTCTCTGCAGTCATAGCTGATGCTGCCAACTTCTCCCTTCTTTTAGTAGCTTCAGTTGACTGTGATCTTACATCTAGTAGTGTTCTGGATTACTGGTTATCCACCCAGGCAGGTAAGAGGTGGGAGGGAAGCTTGGGAAGAGACCTAGAAGAACTTGGACATAGGATCCGTGTTCAGCGTACTTCAAGCCAAATAAAGAATTCCAAAGCTAGAGCTGTTTGGAGTAGAAATTAAATGGATTCTACAAAGTGACAGTTCTTGCTTTTTGTTTTTGTGTTTTTTTTGGACACAGTCTATATTCTCATGTAATGCTGTTGTGTGCCGACCACTGAGCTCCTCTGCCAAATGGGCTGTTTCTGTTGGCTCAGTGGAAGGAGTGCAGTTCCCTCCCGGAGAGAAAAAGGTTAAGATGCTGAGAACTGTTGGATCTGCAAGCCTGTCATTCTTACACACTGAACTCGCAGAAATTTCAATTCCGTTGAAATGGAACAAAATACCTGTTGTTGACCTAATCCTTTAAATGTCTTCTTGCTGTGACGTTTCAGAGTATTCCCCCATCATGTACATCATCACTGACCTTCTGTTACATGAAGTCACAGAGTCAGTTACCTTGGAAAAGTCCTTTAAGATCACCGAGTCCAAGCATTAACCTGGTACTGCCACGTCTGTCCCATGTGAGAGAGGAGCCAGTTAGAACTTCTGCTTCAGCATCTTGGTTCTAATCTAAATCCTTACACACTCAAGTACATGAAAGTGAGCTGCCCGAATTCCTGCAGCGGAGGTTGTGACATTCCTGATGAACTCAAGCTAATGAGTTGCTTTTAGAGGGAGAAAGAGGCACTACTCCCTTTCCAATGAAAGCCTCCCTAGACAATATTTATTAGCAACAGTAAATCACAGACAGATCTGGAAGCCCCTTAAGTCAGCTTGGGTTTGTCAGACTTCACTTGTCAGTCTTTCTGCACTGATACTGGCAAAACCTCAAGCAGAAACATTTCTTGGATGTAAATTTTTTTTGTGTCTTGAAAGTGCTGTGAATAGTATTTTTAATTAGTTCTTGAATGGTCAGTGTCTTTGTACTGTTTTTTTCTTACTGTTTTGTAGTTCTAGTGCTCCTTATGTTGATCTTTGCTGGGAGGGAGGCTCGTGGTGCCCAGGCTTGAGGGGAGCTGCCACATCATCCTGCGTGGGCCTCGGCTGTCTGGTGCAGTCTCCCAGGACACCCTGCCAAGAACATCCCAGATAGAACAAAAATGAGCTCTTGCAGGCCGGGCCTGCAATTCTGTTACTTGTTTTGTTTTGCTTTTGTCAAGATCCCAGTGGGGATCTCTGGATTGCTCCCCTTCTCTGAGGGCCCTTCCTGCCTCTTAGACAGCACACGGCAGAAGGAAACTAGTTTAGTTTTGAGCATAACCAGCTCTTACCCACTCCCCAAGCAAAAAGTTTTGTCTTTTTGGGCTCCCAGCACTTGATGGAATCCAATCTCCATGCTGCTGTACATGGTCTGAGCTCCAGCCCAAAGCTGAAATCCCGTGTTTGCCCTGGGATGCAGCCAGCAAGAAGGGCCAAGCTCTGCTCTGAGCGCAGCCGAAGCACGGCTAGAATGTTACGTCTGGATCTTAAGGCCGATGACCAAAGAATTCATTATTGATTACTCTGTGCTTATCCACAGCCCGGCTCTTCAGGGTTTTGAACTTCATCCTGTGGCCTCCTGCCCCCTTACCCTGATCAGTAAATGTTTCCCAGCTGGAGCGTTTAACCTCTTCTGTGTTCAGCTGCCCATCTCTGTCTCTCTTCAGTGGTCAGCAGGCAGGTTCTGCAGAACAGAATGAGCCACAGTGTGACATAAAAAATAAAAAAAGAAGCCGCCACATCCAGTGAGGGAAGCTAGAGGGGAGCAGAGCTTTCCTTCACAGGAGGATGAAGTGGCCAAAGCCTCCTCCCAGAGCTTGGCCAAACAGAAATTGTCCAACGGCAGCCCAGTAGGAAGCTCTAACGTGAAAAATACGTCTGTCTGTGTTTGAAAGGTGTAAAGAATAAATCTTTACCGTGCCCACCGTTGGCTCACACACGCCGTTTGCACAAGA